AATGTCTTCGGCGAGTATTTGTCTTCATACCCGACCTGCTGCACCCTACTGGTCACGACTTCTGACTAGAACAGGTATGATGTTACACACATTACTGATCGACTGATGTGGGTAGTTGGAAAGCACCCATGTTAAGCGGACAGGGCTTTCTGGCCAGTTTATCACTAGACAGCTGTTTCTCATTCCTTTCAGTTCGATCTCAGTCTAATAATGTAGCCAACTTTGACAAGTATCATCACAGAGTAATCATAATTTTCAGAAGTGCCCCTAGCATTCTGTGCGATTATAAAGTGGACATTCAGGCGACTGGATGAAAATAGTATCAAGTGTGCCTTAGACAGGTCTAAGTTTTGGTGTTCGCTGGCCTTCACCAGTCAGTAAAGCGTATTTCTTCAATCTAGAAGGAGCTAAAGGATATCCTTCATAATGACTGTCGGCCGGTCGGTTTTCGACATAGAACTTTGCACAGATGTGCGGCAGTTCAAGTCGTCACACTCCCTCCATGTAGCACACAAAGCAAGAGAAAAAAGTAGAAGAAATGCATAAGAGACACAGTAAACAGAGGTGTGAGACAAAGGAATAGTAATAACGAAGAACAAAATAGTTTCATTGGAAATCATAAGTCACAAGGAGTGGATACATCTGCGCCAGCCATTGAGAAAGATTTTGAGCCATATCACCAATTGTTTCCAGCCGTCATTGGTTTTTACCGTCCCGAGGACCACAACCAGTCAGGAAGTCTAAACCTTCCTACATGGTTGGCTTAGACTAACTGTTGTAGATTTCATTGGCTGGTGCCATGTTTTCGTTTGACCGCCGCTAGCTAGCTCTTTTCCAGCCTGACCCTATATCAGCTAACATTGCCCGTAGTCGAGGAAGGCGATGACTAGGCATACGTAACACATGTCATAACCATCTCAGTCGATGTAATTTCACAGCCTCGTCGATTGGTTTCCCCTCCCACCTACCTAGCACTCGACCGATGCCTTACCTCAATATTGCTCACGTTATCATACCACTTCACATGGGAGATGGAACGCAGACACCTATGATCAAAGACAGCTAATCTTTTCATGTCTTCCGCTCTCAATGGCCAGGTCTCACAGCCATAAAGGAGAACGGAGCGGGCTGATGAGCAGTACACACGCCCTTTGGTCGATAGTGGGATATCACGTCTACGCCAGAGACGGCGTAAACTGGCATATGTAAAACTAGCCCTCTGTATTGGTGCTGAGATTTCGTCGGAGATCAACTCGTTGGCACTGGCTGATGGTACTTCCCAAGTTAGTGAGGCGGTCAACGTGCTCTACCAGTATACTCCCTATTTCTAATCTAGAGGTTGGTGAGGTCCAATCCTGCAACATCATCTTACATTTTACAGGGGCGAATCACATGCCAAACATACGAAGATTGTTGCTCAAGGTGTCCAGTAGACTCTGCATTTTGTCAGCGTCCTCGCCTAGAAGGACTATATCGTCTGCATATTCTAAGTCGACGAGATTATTCCCTGGTAGCAAGTCAATCCCTGAGTCGCTGTAACCCGTATATTGAACATTCGCTTAAAGTTAGTGGGTTTATGTCAAAAAATTTCTTTTAAAAAAAAACACAATTTTCTTAATTTAATTCTCAGATATTGCAGTGTAGGCTTCTGCACGTGAAATAACAATCTACTGATATCGACTAGGTGTGGGTGTGTGGGTTTGTATCATATCTCCTATTGCTGTTAACGTCTACACAAAGATAAATTAATGCATACTTTAGAAACACAGTGAGAGAGAGAATATGATTAGCCAAATGCATTTCGTGTGTGCATGATGTGTGCCTTCAGAGATTACCTCTTCTGAGAGGTGACAATTAATTCACTGAAAGCTATTCAATCACACATACACAAACACGCAGACTTGAAAATATGCACAAAATATCTGATAGTAATTTTGATGAAATGTGCACTTCTATCTTTTTGCCATTGGAAATACAAAGATGAGATGAACAACTGTGACTACTGCGTAATAATTGTGTTTTGATAATTAGGTACATATTTCTGTGTTTCTGTATGTGCCACGTGATGCTATAGCTATGCGTTTCTCCAACGAATTATTCAACGACATTTGAAAATCAAAGGTGTATGCCGAAGGTAAATACACAAAGCGAATTTATACTGTTTTCTAATTTTTTTTCCAAAAATAGTAAGTACTTTGGTATTTCGGTAATCCCTTTTGTCTCAAAACACACTAAATATTCTCAAGTGTTGGTTTGTAGGGATTTGATTTGGTTACAGGATTTCATCATGAGCTGACATTAGTTAGAGAACCATTGGAAAACCTGGGAGTACTGGACAGCTGCTTCGTCCTAGTCTGGGACTCTTCAGCAGTACGCTCCCACCGGGATTCGAACCCAGGACCTTCTGGTTACAAGGCGAGCTCGTATACCATTAAGCCACTGGGACCCGATCCAATGGACCATGAATTCTAACTTCCGCCAATTCACGACATAGCGCGATCCCTAGCCAGGGTCTTCGGCGAGTATTTGTCCTCACGCCCGACCTGCTGCACCCTACTTCATTCATTTGCGTTCTGAATAGAATATAAGGCTTCAAGCTTTGAACTTTCAGTAGCCGTGTGTACGTTACCAGTCTTACGTCTAGTCTCCCCCGTTTTTATTTGGCTTTATTAGCTGGCTAGTAAGTAAACTGGACGAGACTTTGCGGGGTGTGTGCTTCGGTGACTGAGAATCGAACCCAGATCTCCAGTTTGGCAGTTGGTAAGCATTCCATGCACAGCGCTGTTACTGTCGATGCTGCGATTTGAATGTGAGTTAGTGTGGTAAAAAAGAGCAATGTCTGAACCACTAGTCCATTGGGACTAGCACAGTAGCTAGACATGCAATTCTTGATGATAATAATTTTTATTATAACAGCATGCTGGCAGATTTTCTCAAAATAAAAAAAATGTAACACTGTAACACGTGCAGTGTTGCCTTGCATGCCTGAGTAGTCACATGAACTTTGATTAGTAAGACATATTAATATATGTGGGCACTGTGGTAGTAAGTCATTCCATATTAGTTTGTTTATTAGATATATCACACAGCGAAACAGTATTATTTACTGGATGACTCTTCGAACGAAATCTATGGTTGTTCATAATCATATCAATTATAATCACACGACTTCGAAACTTGAGTTTTATAGTTTTCTTTGTCCTCTCCTATTTGTCGTCATTGGGGTAGTAGAATTCTCCAGATATCTGGGACAGGTATTGAATCATTCCTTTTACATGTATTTGCAGTTGATTCGATAAACAAAGCTTCTGTTAGTAAGTTCCGGATTAGTTAGTAAGTAAGATCCGGATTTTCAACTCCAATGTAAAGTCAGTGCTACTCAACATACGGATCAGAGACTTGCACTGCGCGTCATAAAGAGCATCCCAAACAAACTACAGAGCTTCATCAATAGCTAGTTGTCTTCGCTCAGTACCACTCAAGATCAGATGGCCAGAAAAGATCAGCAACAGAGCTGGATCTCTGGGAGCGAACCAACACAGCAGGAACCGATTGTGCGACAAATAGGCAGGAAGAAATGGAGGTGGATTGGTCATACTCTAAGGAAGCCATCAAGTGACATCACTAGACAAGCCATTGATCGAGTGGAACCCGAAAGGGAAGCGGCGAGTTGGTCGTCAGTGTGAGGGTGACTTGGAGGAGGTCATGTGAAGAGGAGATGAAAACGTGTGGACAGACATGGAGCCAGGTGAAGACTCTAGCAGAGAACCGAACTCAATGGAGAGGCACGGTTGAAGCCCTATGTTCCTCTAGGAATTAAAGGAAACAATAATAATAATAATAATAGTAAGTTCTGAGGTCTTCCTTCCTTTGAATACTGTGGTCGGTTACTATGCAGTGACTGGTTCGTTCACTTAATCTTGAAATTCACCACAGTAGAGTGAAGATTTTTAATGTATAAGGGAAATCAAACATCACTGGGAAGGTGTTTCGTCCCATTTTGCGACTCTTCAATAGTGCACAGTTGAGAATTAAGTATGGAATCAGACCTAAGAGCTTTAAGTAATCCAACACATTTTCACCTGGTTACCTAAATTTACTGGTTTCACTACCTGAGGAGGTGACAGGCAAACCCTGTTGAAAAATCTCAGGCTAGAACAAAACGGATGTCAAGTGTGCTCGTTAATTTTTACTCATTTTTAAGGGATGTAGATTCATGTAGAAGTGGACAAAACTTAAAATCTCAACAGTAAAGTACAGCTGGCTAGTGACTTTATTATCAAGCAACCACACGTGTCTGCATATTACGTTTTCTTCATTCACTAATAAACAGATATGCTGGATCATTTGAATTTTATTTACTTCCTATCTCTGCCTACTTTCAGCTCTTATTCGTAATTCAAGCGCACTTTTCACAGAAGTAAGGCTATTTGCTGGTTTATCCGATCGTATTACTACTAATACTGTTATTCATTACTTCCGTTTCTAGTGGAATGTAGGTTTTTAGAGGGGCATATCTTTATTTCACTCGCTACTCTGCTATCACTTTCAGCCTGGCTCCTAAACTGTCTACGAGCTTCCATTTCCCTCCTTTCGAATGGTGGGTGTTCTCCATCTCACAATCTGACGCCCACCCAACTATCTTTACTTCTTATTCGGGCTCCACTAGATGATGGCCTGTCTAGCGTGTTATGTCACTGGAATATCTCCTCAACCCAGGGTATGATGCTCAATCCTTTCATCTGCATTTCCGTCTGCAAATCTGTTGGCTAGATAATAATTTCTTGGATGAATCGCTTTAGGCATGTTAAAGATACAATTCACAATCAGGGGAGAAGTGCTGTGCTCCATTGTTGGTGCTATTTAATGCATATCCGAACCCCCGTACCTACTACTATCAAGCTGTATTAACCCGGATACCACCAACCAAGAGACAATATAGGCGGTAACTGAAATTCACCGAACAGAGATTCTAAAAATAGGAGAGAAGCAAAACTTACAGTGGCATCTGGATTTTCACTGTTCTTAACTTTACTTCTTAATTTGTCATAGTCCAAACGATATGACTCTAGATGGCTACGTTCCTTCTGCAGAGAAATAAGAAAAAGAGAAAAGCACAGAGTTTACATCTGTTAGCTTGCACGGCTTCAAGGTAAGTTAGACGTTGGGACTGAATGACATCGATTAGAGAGAAAGTCATTGGTAAAAATCAGAACTGTTTTAACCACTTTCTTTGTGACAATTTGGTAGTGAGCTGCGGACAGACCCAGGGTCTGTAGGTTAGGAGGCGAGCTTGCTGGGCATTCAATCACTGGGATAAGATCCAATGGCTTATGAATTTTAACTTCTGCCAAGCTGAGATATGTATAACACAACCACCAACCAACATCGTCGGCGAGTGCATGTCTTCATACACAACTTGACCGACTCCACTGGTCACGAATTCTCATTAGAACTCTGAGCAACTTCATCCTGTAGTTTGTGTGCGACGCACAACACCAACAATATCACTCAGCTCAGCTCTTTTTCAACCAAAAGACTCAACAACAAAAGAAGGTGAAGCCAACATCATCTACAAAATAAGTTGCAACGACTGGGAAAAACACTATACTGGCAAAAGTGGACGTCCCCTTCGTCTTCGTATCCACGAACACAAGCTAGCCGTCAGAAGACATGACATTCACTCCTTCATATCGCCTCACTGAGTACAGACAACCACGGACATCAATTCGACTGGGACAACCAGTGTTCAGCTATTAGACAGAGGAAACAACAAGGATGCTAGAGAATTTTTAGAAGCCTGTCTGGTGTTCCAGTGAATCGCCAATCAATAAACACATCGAGATAGACAAAATTTACCAACCAATAAGAAGGAAATCTCATACAGAAAAGGGTCAAAGTCCAAGTCAAGGAAACAATCAGTTCCAATACAAGTAGCCTAGAGGGTGTGAAAATACACGAGAACAACCAATCAAGTTCAAGGTCACCAGGAGAGATGATTAATGAACTCGTGGAGAAATCTAAAAGCTTACTTCAAATTGAAGTATGAGCTGAGGATGTTGCCTAGTAGGGCAACGAAAGCTTCGCAAATAAACCATCCGGCTCAGAGAACACATCCGCATCAAAAACTAGTGACCATTAATATTTCAAGTCTTTGTTTGAAACGAGATGTGATTGCTTCCAAGCTGGACCACTGATTGACATCACTTATCAAACCATGAAAAACAGAGTTGGCTTACAAAATGACAATTAACAATTCAACTAACACAATGGTTATTATTTGTTAATTCCATAGTCAATTGAAAAGTATGCCGAAAGCCTTCTTGATGATTAACTTTCATCGCTTATAACGGCGAATCGACTTTATTAATTATTTCTGAGGCACTGGTGATAATTCGTTAACAGTCGATTTCCGCCTGCTAATAGGATATATAGTGGCCGACTGTGGGGAGTGAGAAAACAGGCCTACATAGGAGAGACAAAAGGATCCCCTCTAGATGATTTATGTCTCACGTAGCAAAAACTCAAAGATTTACAAGCGAACAGCAACACATTTTCAGACAAAAAGGCAGCAAATACAGGATGTCAAGTGCGGACAGAAATGATAAGTACACCCAGCCGACGACAGAAGACACCAGTTATGATGATCATCATCATCAACAGGAGAGATTTGACTGAAGTTGTCTATCTCTTTCTTCACCTGAGAAACGATGCGTTTCAAATAAGCGCAACACAGAGGATGATGTTTAAGCCAGCACCAAGATCAGGAAAGCAAAACAGGTGTTGATTATCCTCTGAAATCAGTGGGGACATTCACACCACACTTAGCAGCAGAAGAAACAAGATACGAATTTCGTTTAGAATTGATTAATGTCAAGTCAGTGTAAGCGCTTCAGCATGGCCCACAGACTTGGCAGGCACACTAACGGAAGCATTGCTGAAGGCCTAATGTAGGCTTTCATCACTATCTACCTTCTTTGATACCTTAATACTGAAGATCTATTTGGCTGGACAGAAAAGATTAACAATCAACAAGGAACTCTAACGGCAAACCACCAAACAACCCATTGCCTATTCAACAAGTATTCAGGAAGAAATGAACACGGATGGACTGGATATCTGTCTGTCTGTCTTCGACATAGAACCTTGCACCGACGTGCGGCAGTTCAAGTCGCCACACTCCCTCTTTGTAGCACACAAAGCAAGAGACGAAAGTAGAACAAATGCATATTAGAGACAGTAAACAGAGGTGTGAGACAAAGGAATAGTAATAACGAAGAACAATATGGTTTAATTGGAAATCATAAGTCACAAGGAGTGGATGCATCTGAGCCAGCCATTGAGAACGATTTGGATCTAGCCATGTCACCAATTGTTTCCAACCATTGGTTTGACCGCCGCTAGCTAGCTCTTTTCCAGCCTGACCAGTCCTATGTCAGCTGACTAACGTTGCCCGTTGAGGAAGGCGATGAATTGCTAGGCATACGTAACACATGTCCTAACCATCTCAGTCGATGTAATTTCACAGCCTCGTCGATTGATTTCCCCTTCCCTCCTTACCTAGCACTCGACCGATGCCTTACCTCAATATTGCTCACGTTATCATACCACTTCACACGGGAGATAGAACGCAGACACCTATGATCAAAGACAGCTAGCTAATCTTTTCATGTCTTCCGCTCTCAATGGCCAGGTCTCACTCACAGCCATAAAGGAGGACGGAGCGGATTGTTGAGCAGTACACACACCCTTTGGTCGACAGTCCGATGTCACATCTACGCCAGAGACGGCGTAAACTGGCATATGCGAAACTAGCCCTCTGTATTCGTGCTGAGATTTCGTTAGAGATCAACCCGTTGGGGCTGATGGTACTTCCCAAGTAAGTGAAGTGGTCAACGTGCTCTACCACTTCACTTTCTATTTCTAATCTAGGAGTCGGTGTAGTCCAATCTTGTAACATCATGGATTGGATATACTCTGAATAGACGTTCAAAGGACATCACAGATCAAGCAAATCTTCAAGTATGACCAGTGTGTGACATGTAGACCATGTGATATGGGAAATGAAACGTTGTGGACAGTTGTAGAGCCAGATAAAAATCAAATCAAGAGGGGAGTGAAATGACGATATCAATTATTTAATTCAAGGGAAATATAATTCAAAGAAAATCCAATAAAATTAACAATTTAAGGAAGGAAGTGTACTTTCACCATTATCACTATTATAAATATTATTGAGGTCAAACCTTATTTCATGTAAAGGCTATCAATCTATATTCCATTTAATGTCCATATTCACACCTGATTGATTGAGTGTTACCACTTATCTACACATACACACATACACACACGTGCAAATACATTTTGAATTACCTACTTATCGATTATCACGTGATAAGGTCTACATAGAGACACTAATTCTTTAGGAAGTAGTAGTAATATTCAATCACACGCATACATACCACTGATTTGAAAATTTATTCGGATGTGTATGTATGTGTGTGTGTGTGACGGGGAGAGGAAGTGAACATAGGTGGAGTTGCTTAGGTGACACACACACACGCACATATACTGAAAAATGGTGTAAAATTTCGAAGTGCCTCATGAAACAACATGAAAATTGATTGTCCCAACCGACTTTAAAACATATTAACCACAAATCCGTGAGGACATTTTCTTCTCTTTTATCGACGTAGTCATCTTCGAGCCAGTGGCTGATCGATTCTAACTGCTTCCAATTCATCATATATAGTAATACCATCAGTCGATGTCATCAGCGAGCATCATTCCGCTCCGTTCTCCTTTATGGCTATGAGTCGTGGCCATTGAGAGCGGAAGACATGAAGAGATTAGGTGTCTTTGATCATAGGTGTCTGCGCTTTATCTCGCGTGTGAAGTGGTATAATAAGGTGAGCAATATTGAGCTTAGGCGTCGAGTGCTAGGTAAGGCGGGGAAATCAGTCGACGAGACTGTGAAATTACATCGACTGAGATGGTTAGGATATGTCTTACGTATGCCTAGTCATCGCGTTCCTCGACAATGGGCAATGTTAGCTGACATAGGGTCAGGCTGGAAAAGAGCCAGCGGCGGTCATACCAAAACATGGCACCAGTCAATGAAATCTACAACAGTTAGTCTAAGCCACGTAGGAAGGTGTAGACTGCTGTCTCGTTGGGGTCCTCGGGACGGTAAAATCCAATGGTTGGAAACAATCAGTGACATGGCTCAAAATCGTTCTCAATCACTGGCGCAGATGCATCCACTCCTTGTGACTTATGATAACCAATGAAACTATATTGTTCTTCGTTATTACTATTCCTTTGTCTCACACCTCTGTGTACTGTCTCTAATATGCATTTCTCCTACTTTCTTCTCTTGCTTTGTGTGCTACAAAGAGGGAGTGTGGCGACTTGAACTGGTGCACATCGGTGCAAAGTACTATGCCGAAAACAGACAGACATCTTCCCACATACCCATTATGGTGGCCCCTGTTGATCACGACTCTCCACTAGGACTTCAAGCAACTTCATCCTGCAGTCCATCTCTTTACTGCGTTGATCAAAATAACCAGCAGTAACGAACAGAAGTTAGGATTCACAGGCCATTGGATCGCGGTCCAGGTGGCTGAATAGTCAACGAGCTTGGTATTGTAACCTGAATGTCCTGGGTGAACACTGTTGAGTAGTCCCAAACTAGGAGGAAGAAACAGCTGTCCAGAACTCCCTGGTTTACAGTGGTTCGCCAACTGATGTCTGTTAATCATTGAGACTCAAAACAGCTTATTTTTCAACCAATCCATCAATTTAGTTTTGTGTTTAATTATCCATAAGAGTGCTGTGAGGCATAATAACAAACTTGTGCAATGTCCAACTGGTCAGGACGTGTTTAATAATGACCAGCTGTAATGATCAATCCATCGTAATACCCAACCTAACTTTGAAATTCCACGATATATTCCACCATCGTCAACCGATTCCAGTGAGGATTATCTGTCCTTATATCCACAATATAGTTATATTATTATCATTATTGTTCCCTTGGGTTCCTAGTGGAACATAGGGCTTCAACTTCACGTCTCCACTTGCTCCTGTCTTCTGCTGTACTTTTCACCACCATCCATGTTAGTCCATACTGTTTCAGCTCCTCTTCACACGATCTCCTCCATGTCACCCTTGGACGTCCCACTCACCGCTTCCCTTTCGGGTTCCACTCGAGCACTGGCCTGACGCGCAATGTCACCCAGCGGCCTCCTCAGCGAGTGTCCAATCCATCCATCTCCACTTTCTCCTGCATATTTGTCGAGCGATTTGTTCTTGTTTTGTTTGTTCCCATAGTTTCTTGTTGGTGATTCTTTCCGGCCATCTGATCTTCAGTATAGAGCGAAGACAGTTGTTGATAAGCGTCTGGAACCTGTTGGAGATATTCTCCGTGACCCGCCAAGTTTCTGATCCGTATTGAAGAGCTGACTTGACGTTCGTATTGAAAATCCGAATTTTGTTGTTGATGTTGAGTGACGAAGATTTCCAGATCTGGTGGGGTTGTGACTATATTGTGACAACCACATTATAGTTACAACCCCACCAATCCAGTAAAGAACTCAAATAATCCAGTCTCCATGTAGTTAGTTACATTGAATTATTTCCCATGCATCGGGGTTTTAGGTGCCGGTATATCACTCCAGTTGTCAGGAGTTAGAATTAATGGGACACTGGAGTCCAATCTCCTCATCCACACCAGCAGTGGAATCCACGATGCCGATTTCATCCTATTCGGGACTCGCCACACCTGAATGTACCTGTATTCCCGGGTGAGTGATGGTGTTTCGCCAGGACTAGAACCCGGAACTCGAAAGTGTTATCCGACAAACCGCTTACGTCAAAGCAGCCATCCCTTGTGCAATGGTTATCAGTTATGATTTGTTTAAGACAATGTTGGGATCATCATATATGTCGCCCTCCTCGCGCGTTTACAGCGCAATTAAACTACAAACAAAAATAATCTTTTCCGTCCTATAGAAAAAACAGAAACCAAATTGGCACAAAAATTCTGTAACATCTAAAAATCGGTTTTTGCGGTTAATAAGTCATTTTTGTTTTTCCCGTTGATTTGTCGGAGCAAATGTTCAACCACGGTCGACGTGTGAGCTCCTAGTACGGAAATCTTAATGATGTTTGAGGATTTTTGTTTTATTCCCTCACGTTCCCAGCGGAACATAGGTCTTCAAGCTAGAGGCATGAAGTTTCTTTAGCAGTGTTTATTTTACAGGATGGGGTTGCTAGCCTCATGCCCAACCTTTCCCTTATACCAGCTTTTAGTTCTGGCTTAGCGAGGCAAAGGAGTACGTCGGTCGGAGATCGAACCCCGGACCATATGCATGGTCGACGAGCATCCTAACCACTGTGCCACCGACGCACGATGTCTGAGGATTAACCGGATGTTATTTGGCGACTGCCAGTCAAATCCAGTGGAAACACTTCGTCCCATTCGGGACTCATCAACTGGATTCCCCTGTATCTCCAATGAGCGTCCGTCCTACGGGCCGACATGTCAACCGAAGCTGGACATTTCGGTTCAATCGGTTCAAACTACAGGAGAAACAAAACTGATTTAAAACTGTAAAACCTAAATTTTTAGATGGTTAATTTCTGTGGAAAATATTGTTTTACTATGGGACAAAAAATATTCTTTCTGTGCATAGTTTAATTGCACTTTAAACAAGGGGGGGGGTCGAGGAAAGTAAAGTGGAACATATGATCCAAAGAGTGAGTGAAAAAAATGCACTCTATTTAGAAGAAAGTACATGTGGCACAAAAATAAATATTTCTTAAATCTATGGACAACAACTAATAATATAAAAATAATCCATTGTGTATGCAAAAATTTTACATACAAATATTAATATATTAATACGGAAAACTCAATGAAATTGATTATTTTCTGCGCACTTGTTTTCTGTGTGTACAGAGTTCAAATATTGACAAAACGGTTTGAAATATTTATTGATTTTTCAGTTAAAACTGTTTGTGAAGCATATTTATAATTATGAAGAAGAGATATAGTTAATATCTCTCTCTCTCTCCTTCTCTCATACACACATACAAACATATATATAACAGAAATATTTATGCCCAAGTTGGGTGTTTGTGCTGTCGTTGTGTTACAGGGTTGATTTCAGCGAGAACCAAGTATTTGGAAGCCTCCTTGTAAATAGGGTTGTTATTAATATGATTATTATTATTATTCGGTCCTTGGATTCCCAGTGGAACATTGGGTATCAGTCGCTGGCACACATCCCTTTGTATTCCGTTTTTTTGCATATTTTTTAGTCACTTCCAAGACTGTCTGCCCACCAATATTCATTTCCTCCCCCTCCGCCTCTTCATAAGGCCTCCTCCGTGTCATCCTTGGCTCCACCACGCCCAACTAGTCGCTTCCCATATTCGAGTTGCTTGAATATCTCACTCAGCTTGTATCTCCAATCTATTAACCTGTATTGGCTTCTGTACATTCGTTGGTCAGTTCGCCATATCGTCAGAGCTCATTATCGCTTACTCATTCTAGCCAGTAGGTCATCTGGTCTTCAGTATTCAGGCAACGAAGGAGCCTCCTGTTGACGAATGTCTGCAGTAGTCTCTTTTGAGATGCTGTCGAGCCATATTGAAGTTACATCGACTGAGATGGTTAGGACATTTGTTACGTATGCCTAGTCATCGCCTTCCTCCACGGGCAATGTTAGCTGATATAGGATTGGTCAGGTTGGAAAAGAGCTAGCGACGGTCAAACGAAAACATGGCACCAGTCAATGAAATCTACAACAGTTAGTCTAAGCCACGTAGGAAGGTGTAGACTTCCTGACTGGTTGGCGTCCTCGGGACGGTTAAAACAAATGGTTGGAAACAATTGGTGACATGGCTCAAAATCGTTCTCAATCACTGGCGCAGATGCATCCACTCCTGGTGACTCATGATTTCCAATGAAACTGTTTTGTTCTTCGTTATTACTATTCCTTTGTCTCACACCTCTGTGTACTGTCTCTAATATGCATTTCTTCTACTTTCTTCTCTTGCTTTGTGTGCTACAAAGAGGGAGTGTGGCGACTTGAACTGGTGCACATCGGTGCAAAGTTCTATGTCGAAAACAGACCGACCGATATTGAAGCACTTAATGACTTGACATTCATGTTAAAACTTTGAATTTTATTCCTTGGAACAGGTGCTGTGATTCTACACACTGACTTCAGATTAATGAAGCTTGGCTAGCTTCGACATGCCGCTTGTCATTAAAATGATGCTGTCTGGCCATTTCTCCATGAGCAATGGTGACTGGTGTTTGTTGTTGTTGCTTATCGAGTATCCTCATAACCACTGTCTTTTCTATGTTCACTTGGGGTCTTACTACTTTTCGCAATCCCCCCTTAGGCAAACCTGTCAGTTTTCGCTTCCATAGATATCTTCGAGCTAGTGAGATAGAATTTGGACAATAAACCATCCGAGCAGTTCACTTCTTGTTCTTTACTGATTTGGTGAATTTTGATCTATGCCATTATGTCCTTTGTGTGTGTGTTTGTATGTGTGAGTATCCGGAGTGACTCGATCACACCAGACTTCTAGGAAATCTCTGATATTCATTAGTTAGTATTTCCTCCATTTAAAATGTCTCCATATATTTTCCCATCTCGAATTTCTATCCACAGTTACCTACACAGACATTCATTGACATGAATGAGTATAGAAAACCACTAAAAACCACGAAGTACTGGGCAGCTGCTTCGTCCACTTAGTTCTCGACTTCTCACTAGTAACCGCCGGGGTTCGAATACAGGAACCTTCAGGTTCCACGGTGAATTCCTTTGCCATTCAGCCATCTGATCCCGGGAATGGCCCATGCATTCTAATTTCTGTTGGCACCTATCGTGCTTTTTTGTCAACATAGTAAGGGCAGTGATTTTCATTCTTTTTTCCATTCCTTTGCATTTGCTGAGTGGAACATGCGACTTTGGGCTCTTTTGTTATTGGAGATTTAGTAGTGCATTGTTTCTATTTACAGAATGGGATTGCTCGTAGTGTCACACACTAAACCGTCTCTCTTTTCCCATTTTACTAGTGATTGCCAGTTAATTAGACGAGGTTAAGGAGTGTTTCGGTGGCCGAGAATCGAACCTAGACCTATAGAGAGGTTTGCAGATATGAAGATTTCAGTGTTTTAGCAATGATTTCGGAAATATTCTTCGTACGAAGTCAGCCTAGAAGGACGTTATTTCCCGATGATACTGGCTGGCGACTGGGATATATATGTCTAATTGGCAGAAGCTGGAATTCATGGGCCTTTGGATCGAGTCCCAATCGGCTGAATGGTCTACGAGCTTGCTAGCCTTGTAACCGGAAGGTCCTGCCCTCGGACTCTGATGGCTTAGTACTGATGAAGAGTTCAAAACTAGGACGAAACAAATTTTGCAGAACTCTCCGGTTTCCTAATGATTTACTAACTAGTGTTAGCTAGTGATCAAACTTGTACCCTTACACAAACAAAACTTGAAGCTTACTTGAATGTCAGGCCAGTCCACCGTTAGGAATTGATGCAGTACAGTCAGTGTTTTCTTTTCCAGCAATGAATTCCTTCGGTGTTCAGCTGCTGCCACGCTGCGACCATACTCGCCGCATTTCTTCAATGCCTCACCTAGAATTACAAAAGCAGAAAAAAAATAAATGACCAAAATCAACAATCTTTAACAATGTTGAGCAGTTTTATTGATTTGTAAGGGCCTATGAAGAGTTGTCATCTGAAGTGATGACAACCCATGGGATGTCCACTGAACACATTGTTTAAAATTTCAACATACGCGTACTAATGGAAGTGACCGAAGCTACTTTTAGCGACTTAGGGATTGACTTCATACTAGGGTGCAATCCTGTAGACCTGGAGTGTGAGGATGACATCACCCTCCTAGCTGAAGGCGCTCGCGAAACTCAGAATCTTCTCAGTATGTTGGGTATGCATTTCGATCCTCTCAAATGTAGGGTGGTGATGCGGGATTGGACTGCACCGACTCCTAGCTTTGAGATAGAGAGTGAAGTGGTGCAGCATGCTGACCACTTGACTCATTTGGAAAGTTGCATCAGCCACGATGGAATGATTGCTAACGAAATCTCGGAGGGTAAACAAAAGGCTTGTGGGGAATTTTTCAGCTTACATTAATCCTGATGTAGGAATGATATCCGACCGGGTATCGATAAAAAGTCGCGTGTACTGCACGGAAGTTCACCCTGCTCTCCCATATGGCTGTAAGATATAGTCGTTGAAAGTCTTGTTTGACCACAGATTTCTGCGCCCGATCTCCCATGGTAAGTGTACCTAGAATCGTATTCGTTATTTACACACGACTTTAGTTCAGCGTTAGAATTCACCTCAGCTTCACTAGATAAAAATTACCCTCTTAAGAATCAAAAAAAGGTATTCACACCTGCTAGACGGCTTAAATGTTAATCAAGAAAGCAAGCGAAATAGCGTGACAGTGACGAATTTTCATTGACATTTGCAAAACTAGAAAATTTATTAAAAAAATAATACCTCGTGATAACAGTTTGCACTAGAAGCTAGACAACCAGTCACTGGGGTGGTTCTGATCTCTAAACTGAGTCAAAATCGCGTACACTGCACTGATATGGGCTGAATCCAAAAACAAGCAAAACTGCCGTCAATTGTTCAGATCACTTCGACCTAGCTAACTGGCAAGTTAACATTACTGGTTCCCTTAGGTGGTAACCAGTATAGCATATGCCACTTCGCTAAACAACTTTTTTCTCTTCTCAATTACCATTCATGATATCAAGCAGGTCACTTATTTATGATCAGTAGCTTTGGACTGTAAAATTCATAAATGATCCACTTAAGATACTGTACTTAAAGATACTTAGGGTTCTTTCTAGTGTATACCCTTACTTTCATGTGAATGAAGACCAGTTCATTATAAGCAAGATACCTTGTATGCAAGTTGTATAAAGCATTATTATTATTGTCACAGATGACTGATTTCGTTTGGATTAAATAAGTAGTAGTAGTTGTTATTGTCAAGGTTCTGTTCCAGTTATAACTGCTGACATGTCTCACCAATGCTGATATCCATCGGTAGGAGAAAATCATTATCGACATGAACTACTTACATCACACCTACATGTCCATACAGGTTTATCAACCAGAGCGGTGTTTAAAAATCTCATCTCCGTGGTGCAAACATAACCCAATGGCTTAATCACTTGACTCGCAACCAGCCAGGTTTGAACCCCACTTTTTATTTTTTTATTTCAACTTGATTCCACACCGTATTTTTTGGTACAGGTATGGAATTTTCAGCATGTGATATCGGTAGCCCAAATTTTGCAGGCCGACCATAGATATCAGGTGTGCGTCGGCAGGAGATCGAACCCCGGACCATGTGCATGTTCGGCGAGAGTCCTAACCACTGTGCCACCGACGTACCTACAGCAACCTGTGGACAACTGTACAGTATCATTAGCCATCTTCCATACAATAAGAGAGTGGGTGTATGTGTGGCTTGTACAGACCGGCACATGAAAAATCTGCTCAAGACTAGCTGAATTCTAACCAGTGATGTATAGATTAGGAGACTAAGTTAAGTATTAGTAGAACAACAGTGGCGGTGTGTGCAGAATAATACGGTACCATCATTTATTCCGTTGGCTTCTCATCAGCTGCTTACAGTCTAAATAATTTATGAGGTTTATGTACAGAAATGTTTTAACATACTTGCAATTTTTTTCCCATGGTGTCAGTTGACAGAAGGTTCCACAATTAGTGTACAGTGCTCAGAAAATTGCGCTTATATAGTTTTTACACAGACAGTCCAAATTTAAACAAAATCAATGTATGCATACAATGGTAAAGGAGTTGCTCAATAAAGACGAGAGATGCGTTAGATTCTGAGCGACTAATAAATTAGGTAACAATGTACTGAGTTCAACTCAAATCATAGGAACAAGAAGCAAGCAAAACTACACTATTTCAAAGGAGGAGTGTGGTTAAAACCAAAGATTATGTAATCAAATAAAAGAGGGAGAATAAAGACATCCAGTTACCAGGATGGGCAAGGAAAGACTGATAACTGACATTGCTATTCAATCAGAACAACTGGAGCTCTGTGAGCCATTTTTGCGATCCTGACCTCCTGGAGAACTTTTAAATTCATATATTCCCTATTTTGTTTTCCCTAATTTATCTGATATGTTCTGTTTAATATTACATTTTTATGTATATTGTCACTTACAGATGCTTCCTGACTGTAATCTGTCGATATTAGTATTCACTCAGTGTTATTTAAAACTAAAATGTCGTTAATAAAAATAATAATCCTTTAATTATATATGGTCATATAACTGTAGAACATAATGAAGAAGTCATCAAGAAGAATATTCTCTGTTCAGTGAATTGTCTTTTAAAGTCTTTATAGACAAAAAATATACCTAGATGACATTATGAATGACTTGACCTGACGACATATATACATGCAAGTGCATCCCATTGGTAAGTTCCAATTAGGACGAAATGCGCATTCGAGATTTCGTTGCTAGTCACCATCCACTAAATTAGTGGCAGAGTTTGTCTTCTTAGGGATGCTGAATATCAGACGAACGGCCATACAAGATTAGCAAGCAGCGACAAGCGACTCTAAATCCTGCTTTCTACACACGCCAGTCATTTCATTGAATACTGATACTCCGCGAGTGGAAAATTTACGAGGTATCTTCGCAAAAATCTACTGTCTAATGTTGTTGTTCTTGTTTTAATATCAGCTTAATTAGTCAGTAGTCTTCTTCTTCTGGTTGGTCGCTTCAAGGTTACTCGTTATGCATTCAGTTTTTGTTCACTTTGTGCGAACTCCTCACCCAGACTGCTTCTTCAATAACCAACCATAAGATTCAAGTGTTGGTTATCAGGGATCTGATTGGTTACAAGATTTTATTATGAACCACTGGAAAGCCTAGGAGTACTGGATAGCTGTTACGTTCTGCCTTGGGACTCTCAGTCAGTAAACAGTGCGCAGTTCAGATAGGTAGTTACTTGAATTCAAGGGGGAAGGCCTGACAGGACGGACAAATACATGCCACCGACGATACTGGCTAGTGGTCGCGCTATATCGTGAATTGATAGAAGTTGATAATGGATTTCATCATGAGCTGACATTAGTTAGAGAACCATTGGAAAACCTGGGAGTACTGGACAGCTGTTTCCATCGTCCTAGTTTGCGACTCTTCAGCAGTACGCACCCACCGAGGTTCGAACCCAGGAACTTCTGGTTACAAGGCGAGATCGTATACCCACAAGCCATTGGGACCCGATCCAATGGCCCATGAATTCTAACTTCTGCCAATTCATGACATAGCGCGAACCCTAGCCTGGGTTCGAATCCCGGTGGGTGCGTACTGCTGAAGAGTCGCAAACTAGGACAAAGGAAACAGCTGTCCAGTACTCCCAGGTTTTTCAATGGTTCTCTAACTAATGTCAACTCATGATGAAATCCTGTAACCAATAAAAATCCCTACAAACCAACATTAGAAGTCGATATTGTTGGGCCATTAGATCGGTTCCAAGTACCCCAATTTGACACCGGGAGGTCCTGGGTTTGAATCCCAATGGGTGCGTACTGTGAAGAGTCCCCAACTAGGACGAAACAGTTGTCCAGTACTCCCTGCAGGTTTTCCAATGGTCCTCTAACCGACGTCAGCTCATGATGAAATCCCGTAAACATAAGATTCATGAGTTTGTGAATTTTTTTTTGGTATATCGCCTACACATTTATTCGTTATAATTTACTCAGCTCATTTAAATACAAAAAGAATTTATTATAACGCAATTAAGTTATTCTCATACAAATATTATAAGTTTAGATCATACGGAATTTTTTTTGAAAGTCAGTAGTCTAAATCGTTCGAACAGAATGTGAACGATAATCAGTCGGTTGAATAGTCGATCAATAAATAAGTGGACTAATTATTCTTTTATTTATCTCTGTCTACTCTACATGTCATTTACTTACAATGCATGTTATGTTATATATATAGGAATAGGAGATTAGTTAGGCCATTATTGATTAGTTGTTAGGTCGATTGAAAGGGCATCAAGTGTGACTAGTAATCAAAAAGCGATGTACATTATGGTTCGCTTTTTTTTTTAATTTAGACGAAAATAAAAAAATTTTTGTCTGACACATGGAGTATGCTTGTGCAATAACTTTTTTCAGGCAACCTGATCACATAGACACGTACTTGTCATAGACATATAGACTTAAAAAAAGGTCAAAATATTTAAGGGTCAACATCACAGGTAGACAATAGGTAGGCAAAAAGAATGGGGGTGAGGACACATTACTAAGCAAAATGATGAATCTTGGTTTATGAAAGGCATGTTGAAAGTTAAAAACAAAAAAAATTATTATTTGCAACAATTAGTGAATCAAATTTAGGTCGTTTTATGACTAAGACTTAAATTAATTCTAAGTGTCTAACCCAAACCTGTTTTGTGTATATCGGATCACAGCATCAGAAAGATAGTGTCACACATCCTAATGTGCTTACCAGTTTACTAACTGTATTTTTATCGTTGCATTTTATGCTTAGCTAGGAAGAACCCACCGAATTCTGTAGGTTAGGGCCTACAGAACAGGAACAAGTTCTTTTCCATTCCATCGTGTCTCGAGTAGAACAGCGGGGTTCCAAGATTGAGCTTTGTAGTCTGAATAGCTGCGGTGAGGGTTTTTATGACATGAGGTTGACAACCTAACGTCTCACCTTCCTTTTTTCACCTCACTTACTACGCGCTAAACGAGGTTTACCAGTACGCTGGTGACCGAGGACTGAACCCGGATCAAATGACCACTTTATATACGATAAGTCTCGATTAAGGATTGTAACCGGTATTCTTTCCATTTGTTCACAGGGGAACAAACTGCTTCAGTGGCGCAAATCTCCATTCAGCTCGGTTATCTCCCAAAACTTTCAACCGGCTACAGCGCACTGTCCGCAAGCTCTTATATTCGTCTTCTTGTCCCCACATGATCTCCTCTATGTCATCCTCGAACGCCAAATTTTTCTCTACCCATCCACGTTTCACTCAATGTCTTTGGAAATTTCCAGTCTCCATTTCTTATTGCTTGTTTGTTGGTTAGGCGACAGACTGTTGACTGGTTCAGTGTTCAGCCTGATAGAAATCCTTGTTGCCGGCCGCCATCTGATCTTTATAATCGAGGCAAAGAAGGCTGCAGATGATGACGAGTGTGAAAAGAGCGGCCTATTGGAAATGCTTTCGGTGGTGGCGATTCTCTGAATTACACAGAAGCACTCACCGATTTTACACATTAGTAGTAAGCTTTCTTTTCTATATACTGATTCTTTTGTGATGGTTAACCTATTTATATTTAAACTCAATTAAATTGCTTACGAAACTGCAATTCAAAAATGTTTCCTATTGACTTAATCTCCACTCGGCAATAAAATAAAGCCAGATGGTAGATAGTTGTAAATAACCAGTTTATCTTTCCAGGTACACACACACACACACACAAACAGAATGAGTGAGAGGGGGGTAGAGTGGTGAGTGGCGTGGAGAAAATATTCAGGTTAAGGAAATCCACTACTATACATAATTATAAATTGTATTCAAATCAACCCAGTTATATATTTATTATTTTTTTAAAACCTATTTTATTTCGACATTTCAATGCACGATAAATAAAAAATATTCTGGATATGGCGTTCACATCCAGCCATCTGTAGTGATTCAAGTTGGAAGATATGTAATGGGTGTGTGTGTGTGCCAGAGTAATGGGACAGGGGAAGGGAATTTAATTCCAGAAAACGAACCATCTGGGTCAGTTAGACTTACAAAAAGATTTTCCATAGTGACCATAGCATAATTTCGAGTTCTTATGATGACTTTGTCCAAATCCCAAGGCGTTTTTAAACACTTAGTCCGATCCTTGCCCTACGATCACTGATATTTGGTTAGATACGCATGTCACTGGCGAATATTGGCGCTATTAAGTCATTCACTATTGTTGGCAGACATACAAACAGAAGGATGCTTATACTTTCAGAGGCTTGTGCAACTAGGGTCTATAAACCCGATCTCTGTGTGCAGAGGGAAACGATTCATTTGAATCGACTCTGGTGATATCCATTTACTCTGTCAACTGTTATTGTTGCTATTTAATATTATTGCATCTCTTATGATTACTATTATTATTCCTGTTTCGCATTTCTTAACATTTTCAAGTTCCAGTGTTAGGTGGTTGGAGTTAATCGGTATGAGGCTATTAACCTGGGTCTCTCGCTTGCTAACACTTGTCAGCAAGGTGTACCTACATTCTAGAAGAGAATGATACCCCCCCCATAGAACATAATTTCAGAGTGTACCGATTGGTGACCACATTGTAAACTTGACTGGTAGTCACTCCGATCTGCTACTACTTCTTGGTGACCAGTTAGTGTACACAGTTAACGTCCCCAAGCTAAATATACGAACACAAACACTGTCACAAACAGGTTTTCAATATCTGACACTTACGTGTCACTAGGTAACGCATGTTCCAGTCTCCAGGAGATTTTTACTATTAACTTCAGCATTGACCAAAGCTCCAAAATAAAGAAGAGTAGTCACTTTTAGAAATGTACGAGGGTTGTTATATATACATATGTGTTTATATAAGGTGTATTCAATTAACCAAGAATGTAGGGCTAGAAACACTGAACCATTAGTCTATCAAGTAAATAGTGAGTGCTGAGTTTCAGTTCCTTTCGGGATGGGAGGGGGCGGAAGTACTAGCACTTACTGGGATATAGGTAAGACTGATTCCGGCGAGCTCCGATTATGATGAGGAGCGAAAACTACTCAAACAAAAACTAACAAGAAGTCTTCGAAACGACTGTGTACAGTGGTGGGTGACAAAAGCGAAAGAGATGGAAAGAGCATCGGCGATTGGTAACACCAGAAAACTATTTAGGCTTATCAGGGAAACAGGTGGTAAAAGGCAAATGATAAGTGAAACAATCTGGGAAATAGGTAAACCCAGTTGAGAACTCCATCCCCGAATAGGATAAAACACACACGTCCCGCATTCATCTGTTGGCCACTGTTGACCAAATATACATCAAATTAAAGATAGAGCATTGTGAAAATTACCCCACTAAGAGCCCGTGTGTTAAAATAAATCGATCAGCATGTCATTCCCGTAAAATTCAAAGTAGATCCAAATTATTAACAACTGTTTGTCAGTTGGTGCTTCGAGTGTGGAATGCTTGTCAACCAAGTCCACGGCCCTGATTCGATTCATGACTGACACTCACTCCTGGACCTCGAAATCTGGTGATAAGCCTGATAAAAAGGGAAGAGTGAGCATGAGACTAAAAACCTTAACCAAAGCTTGAAATCTTCCCAATGTGCCACTCAGAACGAAAAGGAATGAATATAAAATAAAGCAATTCACAATCAAGAGGTGGGTGGCTTTTGTGGCTCGGCAGTAAAGGAATTGACGCTTGAAAAGGTGGTTGCTGGGATATGAGTGTCATTAGAGGAGACGCGCGCATTCGCTGGCATGTAGATACATCCAGCTGTCAAGAACCAAAATGGACGAGACACACACTCTAGATTCTAATGTCAGCCGCCACTGATAGATGATAATGCCGACTTATCAGTACATATCTCGAGTTTAAATTTAATATCCAGACTGTTTATCATAGTTGTATAGAAGCTAATTGATTCATAGGTTTTTACTTTAAACGCACACACACACATTAACTTCCCATTAGTTTCCAATTTTTACATTCACTTCCGGTGAAATATACTAGATTTATTTCTAGAATATTCTACTAATTTTCGTTTGCATCAATCATGCCACACAATGAGACGGGAAATTTCGAGATGTTGAGTTATTTTCTCTACAAGTAATTATAATTTACTCAGTCAACTATTGTGAATGTTTTTTCTCCCCAAAACCGTGGTGTTATTTATCTCCTAAGAGAGAGGGAGACAGAGGTATTCATAAAACTCTTTTCAACTTGATCTAATTTAGTTAATATTACCTAGCAGTGGAACCCCACATGCGTGGATTTCAGCTGTAGAGTAAGGCAGGAAAGCTGAATATTGAGTTATGAATAGAAGAAATCAAAGTTGAGTCCACTTTTCCACTTATTTTGGGAAGTGTCGCTTTAACTCAGGTGTCATGGATGAAAATAGCAAAACTAGACTGGCTAAGGGGAAGAAAGACAGGCATTCGTTACTGTAGCGACCCAAGAACAAGATCTGAGTACTGCTTAACACTAATATCAAGTCAATCATTGCTAATAAATGGTTAAAAAGACTCGATACATGCTATCATCAACAATGTTTTCAACACTCAGGTTCAGACTTCCATCCTTTGCTGCCTTGATACTGAAGATTACTTAGCCGACCAGAATGGATAAGAAAGTAACAAGGAAACCTTGCAACGAACTACCCAACAACCTACCACTCATCAAAAATACGGACGGAAATAGATTTGGATGAAATGGACATATATAGAAGAGGCCTTCAAGTGAGATCACACATCAGGTAGGCCATTAAATAAAATGTGAGGGGGCAACAACGAGACTGACGTGAGTCAGAGGGCAACATACGGAGGATCATTTTCGGAGAAATGAAAGCTTGTGAGCTATCAACGAACCAGCAGAAAGTAACGATGGAGAAGGGAATGGAATGGAGATGTGCTATTGAGTCCCTTGTGCTCACTTGGGATGCGAGGAACACATAAAATACTGGTAATAAGTACGGAGGAAAAAACGAAAATTCAGTTTACATATAAAAACAATACACTCATTGTTACAAATAAAAGCGAGTTTGAAAAACTTACCATATTGAGTGTTAACGCCAACATCCATAGCAACACTGACTAGTGTCTCTCCAAAATGTTCAGCAGGTAACTTTGCTGGAACTTTCAACCAGTAAGCCTTATTATCAGTAACCAAACTTTCTACCTTGCTCGCTAAACACAAAGATGATGAAATTTGAATTTTTAAAGGCCGTATTAAAATCAAATCATATTTAGAAGCGAACGACAAAATATTTCTAGGCAAAATAGATCTTACACATTTACAAGATTGCAGACGCCTTTAGGTGTGTGTTTACTAACTTCATTACTAAGAAGTTAATAAAAGTTTAGATGGCGCTGAAAAATTTCGCATACCGCGTATAACCATATACATATATAAGTATACAAGAATAATTGTTGTTAAACAACTGTGAAAGCTACCAAAGAACAACTTACAGAAGAGAAATATATACTCGTTGAATTTAGGACCTATAATTTATTTTTTTAAATTCCTTGTGTTTTGAATTTTTAGTGGCGATGGTGTTAACCTTAAGGGATAGGGCTGCTAGGTTTACGTCTATGGTTCCCCAGTTTGCGGGCCTACTGTTAACCAGGTGAGATGTGAAGTGTATCAACAGGGTATCGAATGCCGATCTCCCACTAGTGGCTGGTAAGTATTCCACTGAAGGAAGGAAAGTATTTGATTATGGGTATTATTGAGAAAAAACTAATTGCACAACTAGTGCTCAAACCACTGTTAATGGAAAGCATTTGTACTTAGGTAATGGTAGACCATACAATGAGAAAAGAATAGTACTTGAAGAATAAAATAGTCTATGCATTGGAGCTCCATAGAAACTAGCCAAGAGCAACAAATAGTAAAGATGAAATGTTCATGAATAATTTATGCTTTAGCAAGCTTTGATACGGTATTTTTAGATCAAAAGACATACTGCTTTCATCCCAGTTACCAAATTAACACACCTCATACTACAAACCACATATAATTAATCCCAGCACTGCTCCTTTTGGAGTCAACCAAAGCTACGACAGTCGAGTGGTGGTACGAGCTACGCAGAAGTTTACCGAAGATCATGAACCTATACCTCATAAAGAAATCACATTTGTTTATACTAGCTCGTAAAAGCGATATTGGATACTGGGTGCACTGCAGAAAAAAATAATCATAAGAAGCATTAGGAAACTTTGGACACACATCTGGAGGCAGTAATTATTGGCCTGAATGTATTAAAGTGTCTGCAGTGACAATGAATTCATTACTAACTGGGATGCCGAATTATAGATAAGGATTATTAAATTTATTTACGTAATTCAAAAAAGTAAATTTCTATAAGTGAACATTGAGTGTAATCATAAAAGCCTGGCGAAACAAACGTCTGGAAATAATTACTAGAAGCATAGTTGGACAAAACTAACTAACTTTGCATGGGTTACAACCTAGTACATATACCTACAGCCATACACATAATACGTTAAAAATTTCAAAAAATATTATATGTGAATTATAAAAAACTTATCGAGTTATAAATACATCAATCTCTTTTATTTCAATATGGACTGACCGACATCCTCGATTTTCCTAGCTATTTTCAATAAATAATTAGGTCATTAAAAATATATATAATTTACAAACACATGGGTTGATCCACAGCTCAATGGCTTCCATTATTTTCCTTGTTGCTTCATGTGTTAATTCGGCCTGCGAAACCAGAGCAATGAACTCTTCGTCGAACTCTGTTTTTTCAGCTCTTCCTATTGCTTCATTTGTTTTCTACAATATCTGGAATATGAATTTGTGATAAACTGACCTGGAGAGCTCTATTCAACTTGGTGTTTGTGCTATCCAACAACTTCTTCATCGTTGCGAGAACAAGTGAAACGTGCAAAGGCGTTTTGAGAGCGATACAAAGGTCTTCTTATATAGTCTAGTTGATCAAAACAAAATTGAACCCTTAACATTGGGAAAGAATATCTGAATATTACCTATAGTATTAAAGCCCACCATGGTATTTCCTCCAGTCTATCTATGAAAAAGTGAAAGCGGACTCGTCAGTATGTCTTTATTTTTACAATTAACTGTGAAGTCATTGGGCGTGTGAAATGTTTCTTTATGCGGATCTCTGTTTGTTGAGAAATAGTGATTCTCAGATGTGGCTGTAGTTTAACATAACTTGTAAAAGGAAGGCGTATTATTGTCCACTGCGTATATTAAGAAGTTTACAGCGTTCAGTGTAGCTTTATAATCCATCGTTAACATGTGATAGCAGTAACGGTTATTTTCTGCATTAGTGAACTTGTTTGTTCGAAAGAATTCAACTGATTTGATATCGTTATGTTAAATTGTACACAAAAGCCATTATAGAACTGCTGAAAAAGGTTATTGAAAATAGGACGTTTTAGATCCATGCAGCGTGAATCTGTTAACCCGAAACACAGAACTGAGAGCCACAGCAGTTGTGTGTTCGTTATAATAGGCTGGGTTGTCACAGTCACTGTTCCTATAAAACATTGCTCATTTGAAATGTGAAACTTATGAGTATTTGTCTTAATAAATCTCGATTTATCATTATATGCGATGAGAACTGCGACTTGAATGACATTCTGAAAGTATTCAGTGATAGTCGTCCTGCTATCCAGTTCATCTTAGAAAAAGAAACTGACGGGAAAAATCTTTCTTTAGTGTGCTTTTGACCAAGAGAGCTGACAGGTCTTTGAAAAGATCTGTTTACAGATAATCGATGTGGACGGGACGACTGACCAACTTTTACAGTTTTGTCTCCGTAGACAGAAAAAGGAATCTAATCCGTTCTGTCTTAACACGGGTGCGGAGAATTCGTAGCGAAGTTAGTGTTGATAATGAACTCAAACAACTAAAGGAAACCTTCATAGAGAACAGGTATCCACTACGCTTCGTAGAGGCCAATAGCAAAGTACGTGGAAGAAATACATAGATTGATATGATAGTTAAAAATTGTTGCACCTTAACTTAGAATTTATGGGGTGACACTGCGAGTGAAATACTTCAACATCGTCTGATGAGATCATTGAGAAAAAGGTTCTTTGCTGCCACGTTATGAATAACCTACTCTAGCCGTTCGCTGGTGCAACTTAATGTCAAGGAGATGTTACCTCGATTGTCTAGTTCAATGTGTATTTATATGTTCACCTGCTCTTACGGAGCTAGAAACATAGAGCGTTCGTCGGGAAACATATTCCGCCGCGTTCGGGAAGACTTCCCGGTTTGGCTGAGCAAAGGAGAACGTAGACATATTGATTCATCCATATTGCAACGTATTGTAGATACTGACCACGCAGCATCTGACATATCGTTTAATATAGTCTACAAGGTCCTACAAAGTTTACCGAAAGGGAGACGAGTGCATTTGCTTTGTATAGCAGAGGCTTTAGCAAAACATAACACAAAACCAGAACTTTGAGTACAAAAACAATCTGTACGATCTCCTTCGTTACCATAGCCTTGATTTCACTATGTAATTTACATAGCAACTTTGCTATCCTTCTTTATTCCGTATTCTATTTTTTACATAGTGTTCTAACATTTTATCTAGTCTACTTCTTTGACAACATTTCACATATCCTGTGTTTTCATCATATCATATTCATATGTTAACTTTTCCGAATGCACTTTATTTTCCGATCATCCATTTCACACTTGTCTGTTGATATTTAGGCTGACCTCCATTTATTTATTTATTCATTCATACATCATAATAGTTCATACTTCTCATAAACTGGTGTTAACAAGAAATGCATGCCATTTTTAGAGGCATGATCAGTTATATTATAAATTATAATTCTGATGTATCTTAAAGTAATACTTTTTCAAAAGTTTAGTTTGCTCGATTACTGTACAAGCAATCAGAACAGGTTCGTATGAGTGTTAAACTGTAAACTTTTCACTCAGATCACCATTAAGGTTGAGCGCCAACCCAAACTTCTTTATGTTGCCTGCTGATAGTTGTGGTCAATCAGTGAACAGCGTATATTTCGGTAAGTGCCATGCCGCCACCTGATTAAAAGCTATTTAATGAAGAGGAGAACGTCCTGGGAAACTGCAAAATGTCAAAAATACAATAATGGGTAATACATCATTGGAAGTACATCCATAAGATATATACAAGAAGGTTGGGGAGACTCCTTGGGATGACAGGATACATTTTCAATGTTAGGTGGTAACCATATTGGTCTCGGCATGGAAACTATGACGTTCTCGATGAAATATAGTTTTTTTCAAGCACTGATGTTGTTGTGTTTTTAATCAAAGCAACTAGACTTTAAGGAAGCAGCAAATATGAGCAGAGTGAGTTTTAGCTTTGATAAAGGCCTAGGTGGTTAAGGTCGAATACATCATAATAGTGCGTAAATAAAAAGATTATTGTAAGGTATATAGGTGATATTTCACTGAGAAGTGAATACAAAGATCAGGAAGATTAGAACCTGTAGAACAAGCTGGACTGTGAGATGTCTCAGGAATTTCCGTAGGGCCCGATGGGCAGCATCTTGACAAGAAGCTGAACAGGCTCATAGATGGTAGCAGCGAAAGCATTTTTGTCCTGATAATTTAGATCTGTGCAACCCTTATTGATTTTTGTTAAGGATCTAAGCTAATGTTTAATTCTCCAGCTGTGAAAAATTACATGTCGCTCTCCTACAGATCGGAGAGATTCATATTTGTGACCACCACCGCCACACTCCCCGATTAAGCTGTGACCCATAATCCTACACACGGATATTATCGCACTGTAGTAATTACACTCACCGTCAAACATTAAGGCAAACACGCATAAATAAACTGATTATTATTGTCTATTGTAATTAATATATACACGTTTATACAGCCATGAAAATGAAACCGACGAAAGGAGAACTTTCTTCTCCGAGTTCCTTGTTCTTATGTCTCAGTGGGGAATGATAATTTAAAATCTCGATTTGCTACGATGACCATTTTGACATACAACTGTATGAGACTCATCATTGTCCTTTTTTCTTATGGTGTTACATTTTACTAGGGAGTTTATGAATATTTTTGTTGTCTCCGAAGTTCCCTTATTTTTTACATTATTCATCAAATTATTTGTCGCTTAAGATATCTATTCTGGGGTGGTTCTATCTTCAGTCTGTTACAATGCGCAGCGTAGTCGAGATGTCATTCTAAATGAAATTATGTTGACAGCTGCATTTCGTATCCCACTGACTCATTCGATGGTAATATGCTGCTTCTGCGTGCTCCATTCGAGATTTTGTATGGATTAGTTTGTATTCATTCTGGTTCCTTACCGAAATGAATAAAAAACTAACCGGTTGCTGATTCATTATTTCTTCTTTGCATGTTTAAATGGATACTAACTACTGTGGTGAGCCTCTTGCGGATTATATTGCTAAAAACATTGTTTACGGTAAAATAACTAATGTTTTACAAGCCATTTTTATACCTTGGTGAATAGCCTACCATATCGACCACATGTAACACAACCTCCAGTTGTTACGCACACCGACAAATTCAGACAATAATGGTGTCTAGAATTATGTCATATAAATTGTTTTAACCTATGTAAAATGTGCTTACTGTCATTATTTTATTAGCTTACCTTATATATATCCTGCGTTAGTGAAAAATTGTAAACATGCTTGCTACATGTATACATTATTAATTGATGATGCCTGTAAACTGGCGTCCCTCATGTACATAAAGTGAGAATATATTATTATTGCTAGAATTAGTAAGACAGGAGAGAAGTGAATGGACGAATTTAGATGTTTACCCATGATTGTTGTATGGGATTTTAATGGGATAGGCAGTTTGGATGCAGTTCTTGTGTCGCTGCATGATTGTCCAGCCTTCGCTCGAAGCTGCCCACTAACGTTGCCTGAGCTACGTCTGCCAATAAGGAGCTGCAGGTTAATGCGAAGTCAATATCTCTATATTTCTGGATGTGTTCCATTGAATCACTAGTTATCAAATTTTTCCCGCAAACTAAAGACAAAATGACAGCAACCATGTAATTTAACCGTAAATCATTTAATTTAAATATGTAATTTAAATAACACTTATCCACGCCCATACAGCTGGTGTGTCCTACATAGGTAGGAATAAATATGTACCTTGTTATATTATCATTACTAACTATGCTTACTAATCGTATGTGTAGTTTATCGAATTGATGATGGCTGTAAAGTGGCGTCCCTCATGTACAAAAAGAGAATTATTGTTATTATTAAAGCAAACCCGCAGTGAAAAGAAGAGGGAGTGCACCCGGATCCTTGCACTCTGGTGAGCTATCTTTATGAAATTTACACGATGAAGCCCATATCTCCTCAATGGCAGAACACTCTTGTTTGGATGATTCTGGTCATTTGTTATTTTGTAGGCAGTAATCAGTCCTCCTGCAAGCTGATGGCAGCTAAGTGCTGATAGGCCTCACTTCTTTAGCCTTTCATCATAGGATTCCTTTCGGAGACAAACCACTCTTTTTGTCACCCGTCTTCGGACTCTTTCCAAGAACTTTGTATCTCTTCTAAGCAGCGGGGGTGCAATGATATTATGCAATTCGAGGTGTGGTCTGACGTATGTTGTGTACAACCTTAGAAAGAGCTCACGAGGCAGCACACATAGCTGTCTGTATGTAAAGTGTACGACCGCACATGCCCTGGCTACACCACCAGCGTTCTTCACGCTTGCCTTCATTTTTCCGTTAGGACTAGACTTAAGTCTCGCTTTGACGTTGTGCAGGACAAGCTTTCGTTTCACGGGCTGAAGTTTGCATTCTGCAGCCTACAGGTGCGTAATTTCACTATCCTGCCCCTTTTCAGGTTGAAACCCAAACCATTGGCCACCTCCCAGTCTTCCAGAAGCTTCAGATCTACCTGCAGCTTATCTTAGTCTTCCGAACACTGAATCGCTCTCCATTTCTTTACGTTGTCAGCGTATAGAAGAGTTTGGCAGCTTAGATGGCATGGGAGGTC